CCTGCGGGTGGTCGTCGACGCCATCGCCAGCTGCTGCTTTGAGGCCGGAGTTGTGGCTGCCACCAAGGAGGCCATCTCGATGCGGATGCTGCAGGACGTGCCTGCACTACCCTGCCACCCCTACATTTCTGGACCAGTACATCTGCTCCGTCGTGAACACATGCTTCGTGTCATACAGGCCGCCGCACAGGGTGAGCTCCTGCAGCGGTTTAGGTATATATGTGCATCGCACAAGGGCAACTACAGTTTCTTGCAAGTTAAAGTAAACTGGATGGACTAATCTTCAGTTTCTCCACCAAGATATATTTTACTTCAACAAGAAAAAGTGCAGAAAAATCATATAGTGTTATTTTCTTGATGCGTTAAACATGCACAATCAATTTGGTCTGATGAGTCTATGTCAATTGAACTACCACTCGAATTATAGCAATTCCAAGCTTTTTTCTACAGCTGCAATTTGCTGACACAGTTGAGTTCTCTGGAAGTTTTGCGGCACACATAATTGATTTTGCCAATGTTAATCCCATTGTGCCTGTGATAACAAAGGTGAATTGTGTTTTCAAGTTCGTAGTACTGTTACTACTGTCAGACAACTAAAGTAGATGTTATGCATACTGACTGGGGTGTGGACTCTATTTTTTAAGGACAAAACTCAAGTGAGATTTTGCTTCCATGGGTCTTCATTCCTTTTACAATTATTTCGTCAAATCTTTACCGACAATTTGTTATTTCTCTTTGTGTGCGCATTGCCCTTAGCATCCATTTGACAAGTTAAAATTAACTGGTTGGCCTCATTAGGGTTATATCAGAGATTCTGCGGAAAAAGAAGTCAGCTTGTCATCTACTTACTGTCTCTACCTATGCTGATTGGGTGTTGACTTCTCACACATATCCCAACTACTTCTTCATTTTTTTCCCATCACTCATCAGACCCGAGATGTATATACACTGGTAAGCATTATTTACATGTACGACTAAGACATAAATATCACATCCTATTGTCTTGGTTAACAGCTTGTTTTTCAAAATGCAATTTCCAGCATGTCATTAGCCAAATTAGAAGTATATAAGGAGACTGTAAAAATGGTAATCTGATACGTTCATCACACTTTAAAATCAACAGAAAATTGAACAAATGCATTTGCATTTATAATCTGTTACCAAACAATGAGGTTCTCATATTGATGTGTTTTAATTTTATTTACGTCCAACTCAGGCTTCAACCGATCACTGATCTACTGATGTCCTTAAGCGACGTTTTTGAGCTATCTGGTAGCACGTACTGATCATTTCATCACTTTGTGGTGATGCAGGATGCACATCAGTGCCGCAAAACCCATGGTCACAATCATGTCTTTCACAGCCGGTGTGGTGTGCCTAAGGTTAAGCCACCACCAATGGAGGTGACATTTTTTTTGTGGAGGTCGATGGCGGTGGCACAAACGGCGAGCAGCTGGTAAAGTAAGGAAGGTCGTCATGAAGGTTGGTGTGCAAAAGTGCTTTGATTGCTTCTAGCACTAGGATGCAGATGCAGATGGTAGTGAATTATATATAACTTACAAGATTTTTTATAAAGATATTCATAGTAGCATTTTAGGAAATATGTAAACATACCTTCATTGTGTGCTCTATCGACATGTGAGCGAGTCAAATATAACTATAAGAGATTGCGTGCCTTGTAACTATAGTGAACAGTTAAAAAATTCTAGAAGAAATGAGGATTTTTTTTTACCTAAGGTTGTCGTGCATTGCACTTGCAAGCTTACTAGATGAAAAGTTGAGATTGTTGATTTTGCTGCTTGAAAGAGCTGAGTTCCAATAATGAATGGATTTGTTTCATGGTAAGAGTTATTTGTTTTAATGCGGATGGGGTGTTCTTTATCACCAAATTCCATGCTATTTGTTGCAGGCATTCCACTTGCTTTCCAATCATATTTGCACCACAACAATGTCACACTTATCAATGCAACATAGTGCTAGGCCTTGATTTAGTTGTTTTTATTTCAGATTTTAGTATGGAGCGACTAGGCCTTGATTCAGTTGTTTTTGTTTCATATTTTAATAGCTGAGCAATGGTGTGATTTTTTTAAAAAAATAAGGATAACCCCGCACCTCTACATCAGGACGATGCATGCAGTCATATATTATTAAAAGTGCATAATCCAGCAGCCGAATACTGTCGACCTTGAAATAAATTGGAAAACAAACCCTGAGGCCGTATACCTCGCGACAGTACCTTCCCCAGATAACTACTAATCCCTATGATACAAGACACAATATAAACAAAAATACACAACTCCTAGGCTACGCCTTCAAGAAGGAATCACTGCACGTGCGCCGATGATGGTGAGTCCACCACAAGGTTGAACTACGGATTCTCATCCCCAAATCCAAGCTTTAATCCACCGCCCCCAGCAAGGACACGACATAGCACGCGACGACATATTCCGGTCAAAGATCTTGTGTTCCACCGGAGTGCATAAACTTGTTGCTGAAGCTGTCTATGCCATCCGCCCTTATCCATCTACCGACACCTCGATAGACGGATACCTCTCGAGGAGACAACGGAAGACAAAGACGTCCCATACCGCCTGCCTGGCGCTGTCCCTCGACGGCGGAGGGGAAGGAGGGATGTGAACGAGGTGGCTGGGGTCCCCCCCCCGATCGCCTTGGAGGGGCGAGCGACGAGGGGGTACGAGGTGGCTTCTTTTACCTAACTTGCATCGTACGTGTAGATCTCCCCGCTCACAAAGTAGTGTGATGGAAATGGAACTAGATGCACAACCTAGAATTAAGCAGAAGAGTATAAGGAACAGATGGAGACGAGGCCATTTTCTTTATGTTTGCCTAGGATCTAAAGATCAATGATCATGTGTTAATATCCTTTGATTATTGATCAATTTCTATTTGTTTTTTTGTTTGTTCCGTGGCAACGCACGTGTATTATGCTAGTATGGAATAGGGGTGCTAACTATTCAGGCACAACTGGGGCATTCTGATGTGAACTTCTGCCCCCGGATACACCGCGGAGTAGGGGTACTATCCAGACACACACACTCAACTGGGGAAAGATGCTTGCGCTCTGCCACCGGTCGCTCTCACATTCCCATCCGTTTCAAAAGGCCGTCTTTCTCTTAAATTGCGTGTCAATTATTCAGGAAGTTAACTCTTCGGCCTTGCACTTGATCGTTCTCCACTCTTATGATGATTGCTGACATCCATGCCATGGCATACGGTTTCTCTTCTAGCAGCTTTAGTCATGTTTTATCGTATGTCAAATGTCACGGCTCATATTTTTAACTCGTTCGTCTGAGTTGTCGAATGCCTCCACTAGATCCGGCCTGGTGACCTCATCCATGCGCCCTTGGCAAGCCAATAAGCAAAACACCCACGGGGATTACCTTTTTCCTAGATGGTCTACGGATCTGAATGTAACTTTTATTTTTAGTGTTATTCGTACTGTCTTGACAAATGATGAACAGATTAGAAGTTTTTCTCCCGCGAAAAAAAGATCAAGATAGGCAAATGCTAAGGTAAGGCGCCAGGATCGATTTCCTGGACGATCGGCAGTAGACGTTCGAATCCTGGCGCCTGACCCGACATCGACGCGAAGTAGGGAACCGAGCGCTTGAGTGTTTTTTTTGCAGTGTGAGATAAATACAAGTACTGAAGCGAGCCGAAGGCGCGCCGTCATCATCGCCTTTCCATCACTGTAGCGAACAAACCTTGTCGTAGTAGACAACCGAGAAGTCCCCGTGCTAAGTCCTCACAGGACCAGCGCATCAGAGCAGTAACCATCGTTGATGAAGAAAGTCGTAGATCAGAAGGATCAAGCCTGTAAACACTTAAATGAAGATGAACAAAAACCAGATGAAACAGATCCATCGAAGACCAACCGACGAAATCTTGTAAGATCCGGCGAAGACACACGTCCACACGCCCTGCGACGATACTAGACGCATCATCGAAATGGCGGTAGAACGCGGGAGACATTATTCCTATCAAGGGACATCGCCGCCACGACACAGCCCCAACTGAGACGTTCAATCTAATGAGAACGGGAATTAGGTCCCTTTTGCCGGCGGGGGACCAAGATCCTCCGCGTCTCCATGGCCTATCGGCGATGGAGCGGGCCGGCGGCTTAGCTTGTAGAAGCGTCCCGTTGAAGAGTTCAAGGTTCAATTCCAATGAGCCATATGAGTTTGGATTTATTTTACTGAAAAAACGAGTTTGGATTTATTTTAGACTTTTCTCGATACCGATTTATGATAGTACCCCACCGTGACGGGTTTAAACACACCCTAAGCATGCAGTCCAACTGTTCAGACGGTCGTTCGCTGCTGGCGCGCGTGCGTCAATTGGGAGGGGCGAGGAAAGGAGTCGGGCTCTGTGGTTCAAATGCAAGGCAAGAACCGAGCGACGAGGAATCCAGAAGCAGACACGACGACCAAGTCATCTCCCGGTGGCCCCAGCGAAGCTCATTCCTTTCCCCCACCCCCGGTCCAATTCGGCAGCCGGCTGCCCGCCCCCGAAGATTCCTCCCACCAACACTATTCACAATTTTTTTTATTCGATTCAAAAATACAAATTTGTTCATTTACTAGTACTCCCTCCGTTCCAAAATATAGCGCGCCCACGCTTTTCGAGGTTCAACTTTGACCATAAATTTAACCCACGAGACCGACTGCGGCGGCATCAAAAATTATATAATTAAAAACTTTTTTTGAATACGAATTCATTGGTATAATTTTTTCGCCCGCCGCAGTCGGTCTTGTTGATTAAATTAATGGTCAAAGTTGAAGCACGGAAACCAAGGACGCGCTATATTTTGGAACGGAGGGAGTACAATATAAGCCCCCGTGAATGGCGACCGCCCGGCCCCAGACGCCGCCCCCGCCGGCCCGCCTTCGTGAACCCGCAGCGATCCGTCCACCCCTTCGTCTCCCGCGAGACACAGAGCTTGCCACTAGGCAGGCGGGCAGGCGGGCGGGCGGGCGGCCATGAGCGCGAAGAGCAACCATAAGCAGCAGCAGCAGGCGCGGATGGTGGCGGCGGCCATGTCGACCCCGTGCTCCATCAAGCCCCTGCTCGTCGCCATCCCCCTCGCCCTCGGCTTCGCGCTCGGCATCGTCGCCACGCTCTCCCTCATGGGCTCGTCGGCGTCCTCGGCTCTACCAGGCGCCGCCCTCGAGCTCTTCTTCCCGTCGCCCCCCGTCAACGTGTCCACCCAGGTGCGGTCGCGTCGGCCACGGCGGCCGGTGCAGGTGCAGCCTCAGGCGGCACCGGCAGTCAGCGCCTCGTCCCCGCCGCCGCCGCCGCCCGTGGCCGACGCCGGCGTTAATAAGCATGCGGCTCTGCCAGCACAACGACGACGGGCGGCACCAGCAGCCGGCGTCTCGTCTCCGCCGTCGCCGCCGCTGGCTGATGCCGGCAGCGACGACAAGCGTCCGGTTCTGCCTGTGAATGCGACCACTGCTGATGAGGAGCAGGGTGAAGGGACGGTGGTCGACGACGACGAGCGGCTGCTGGCGCTGGCGGCGGCGGCGCCGAGGGCGGTGCGCGTGGGGGCGGGGGCCGCGCCCAAGGTGGCGTTCCTGTTCCTGGCCAAGTGGGGCCTGCCGATGGCGCCGCTGTGGGAGCGCTTCTTCGAGGGCCACCGCGGGCTCTACTCCGTCTACGTCCACACCGACCCGGCCTTCAACGCCTCCGCCGCCGCCCCGGACAGCGGCTCCGCCTTCCACCGCCGACACATCCCCAGCAAGGTACGTACTACGTCTACACACGTGCACATCAGCATCACGATCGCATGTACGCCCACTGGAATCGATGTCTAGCTTATCTTCCTGCTCGGTTTTTGGTAAAACAACAACCCGTAGCAGTAGTCGATTTCTTGGATGCATGAATTTGCACGGCGGCATTTCTCACTCCACGGCATTGACGCGCCCTCCACATGCTATGCTTTCAAAATGCTTGCACCATGCATGCATGCATGTATTGACCCGCTAATTCGGTCCTGATTTCACACGAAAAGTGAGACGTCTAGTTTGACACGAGATGAAGGAGTGTGTCGTCGTTCTCCAAGGAGAAGGATAGGAAAGTCCATCTGAGCCAGCTAGGTGTCAGGAGGAGATGGCTTTGGTATCATCACTGTGTGTGCTCCGTCCTGTGTCTTGGCTGCGCACGCGATGTGCCAGTGGTTGATTGGCTCCATCGACGCGGTCACATGGGAAGCGCGGAGTTCCACACGGGGCGCGAGATCGCGCGATGCATTCCAAGATGCTGGAGAACGACGCTTTCGTTTCTGTCTTTCCCTTTTGTTTTTCTTGTCAAAATTGTTATTTCAAATTACACACCGCTGGCGTTTTTAGGTTAGTCATAGTGAAGAGTAACTTAGATTAGTGTCATGCGTATGATACTAGTTTATGTTACTATCTCCATAGTGCTGCATTTATTAGCTTATAGACTCAACATTTCTTGAGAAGCGCTATGTGATGGTAACATAATATGTTACTCTAAACACCTCTCTCTTCATTAACTAGCTGCAAATTTATCTTGGGATATGTTATGTTACTAGCTAACTTACTCCCACTATGACTAGCCTTAACCGTTTTTTTACTTCTTGAGGATGAAAAACGTATTTTTTTAACAATTATATTACACCATTGTACTATTTTGTAGAAATATTAATTAGAATGTAGATGCACACGGCTCACTCACACCACCACACACTCACACTCGCACAATGCTTACTGAAATCCTCTACTACGTATTACACAATTCAAAATGGTTAATATTTGTCTGATTACACTATTCTAGTCCTCTACTGTTAGCCAATCTAAAATTATTATCTGCTGCTTTGCTTAATTAGACCAGTACTATCTCGTTAATCCCCAGAACCCCTCCACTATGTCACATCACGTGCACGACGTCCCTCGATCGCTTCGTCGGCCGACCTCGATTATCACCCAGCCAACAACAACAACACGTAAAGCTGGTTATAATGGGCAAGAACATAGTCTAGTAATTTACACACTTCCCTAGATTATGTTACTACCTCCACAGTGGGTAGGAACATCTATGTAGTGTCATGCAATAATGTATTTATTAGATTATAGACTCATTATTTCTTGAAGTGTGTGATGTTTCGGTAACTTAACTAGTTACTACAAGCACCTTTCTTTTCATTAAATATGTGACATATAAGTAAAGTTGTATTGGAGTATGTGATATTACTCCTAAGTTCCTTCCCATTGTGACCAGCCTAAAGCACTATCACAGCGCGCACGCAGCGGCCTCACGGCACTCACGTGGGCCTGACTTCGTCGCCATCAACCTCTCCGACAACCCCACAGTTGCACAGACAGAATCACTTGGACGGACGGACATTTTGACAAACCTCTTTCGCTTGGTACGTTCTCTCATTTTCAATGTGGACATGTTGCAATGGTCTCGCCACAAGCCCACAACCATAGTGGCCCATGTACTACGGCTCCATCATTTATGCAAACGAAGCCAAAATTGTAGGAGAGTGGGCGGTCGTTGTCCCACTGCTCAACATCGAAGCCATACCTTTCTTGCATGGCATGCCTCGTGATCATCGACCTCCCTATCGCCATCAGCGCACAGGGCGCCAGCTGCTTCAGGGCAATTCACGCGGCCTTCCAAGTTGTCACCAGACTCGAGCTCGTCAAAGGCGAAACCGGAAGGCGATTGATCGACAATATACCATGCGTTAGAGCATCTACTACAACCGGGCGTCTCCAACACCCTCAAACGCCCGGACGTACGACCCGATCACTGGCTCATAAAAAAAAGCGATCCAAATGAACGCCTCAGACCGGCCTCGAACGTGTAGGTTGACAGGCATCCCTAATATCTAGCTTAAATCTGGGGGAGGATATGGGGTGGCTCAGGCGCGACTGAACATGACTGTCATATCGGATTCGGCTCACATGTATTCGTTCTCATCTGCTACTTGGACCAAACCCTAGCCACTCCACTCACTCCACTTCGTTACCAGCTCCTGTCCGGCGAGCTCAGGACTTCTCCGGCATGGCAAGCAGCGGATCCGAATCCTACACATCTCGATTTATTGACCGGGAACTTGTCCCATGTGGCCCCGAGGAGGAGACGGCCGTCCACAGTGTGCTCCGCGCGCCTGCGAGGAGAGCGCCCGACAGTTGTCAGACTCGCTCCGGCGGGAACCCATCACGTCCGCCCAAGTGGGACTTGGATCCGGTGAGATGTGTGTAGCCGCTGGCTCGCCAGAGGCGGTGCGTTCCGCCTGGCGTCCGAATGTCATGGCAGAGGCGCAACCGCTTGTTTGGCGCTCTGACTCGATGTCCATCATCTATGGTCCGTCTACCGAGTGTATGGCGCGGCATGCCCGCCGTGAGAGGCAGAGGGTGCGGGAGGCCACGACAACCCTCTCGACGGATGTTGCCAAGCCGGAGTCGCACTCTCCGACGTTGTAACCGCGTCGTGATGGACGCGGCCGGCTTTGGCCATGATGGATCCATCACCCATCTCATGTCGATCGGCAACGTGCAGGCGACGGGTTCCGGTGAGGAAGAGTAGGGCATGGGAGGCGACGGCGCTCGAGTCCCGTGAGCTGATTTGTGTCTCATGTTCTACTCTACCTCGCCGGCGATCGGGGCAATACTTTGAAGGGCGTAGCCGGCTATCGGACATGGACAAGTGGGGTCGGACAAGCTCCGTTTAGAATAATATTTACGTACATGTCATTGTATGGATTTGAGATTTCGTATTGAGGTATACGATTGTAAAAATGCAAATTTAAGCTTTAATTGGTCACTGTCTGCGAACGGCTCTGCAGGCGTTTGAGGGCCGGATTTGTGTATCCGGCTGTAGATCCTCTTATACGGTGAACTAGATGCCTGACATACAAATTAGCCTGTACTACCAGTAAACATGCAAACCTAGGCGCATAGTATAGATCCCGAGAAGAATTATCTTGGGCACTTTGCGTATGGGGACAGTGACAATGCATACGTACCCTTTTCTAGTAAATCTTTCCTCCTGAAAGAAAAGAATATCTTGTGCACTTTGCGTATGCATGCATGTCTTGGGCCTTGAGAATCTTCTTAGTTAATTACTCTCATCTCCCGTAGCTGACGTATGGATGTATACAAAAAAAAAAACCGTATGCATGTGTACACGGGCCTAGAGAATTAATCACCTTAATTTTGCACGATAAATGTTCAAAGGGGTTAAATCATAGAACTATTATATGCTGGACTTAAACACCATCCACACTATGAAAAAATACTTTATTTTTCACGCGAATGTGCTAATAAAATCTTGTGAAATTCTGATGTTTTTACAATATTACTTGAAATATTGTACTAGTATTGATCTCACATGTTGAAGCACAGCAACAACGTTTGATTGCGTGTATTCTAGGACATCATCTAGTAGTTAGGATACAAATGGCATTTCTTTTTTAAAAGAACTTCCCCTTCTATTTTACTTAACTGAAACAACTGTCTTTTTTGTGTGTGACTAAACTGAAACCATTGTTTTTGCCTACAGGGCCACACAAAAAACTCTTTGCCTACAGAACAAGAAAAATAGAACCACCAAACTAGCTACAAATTACAAGAGTCATACCTTAAAAAAAACAGAGTCATACATCATATAGTGTATGAAGTTATTTTGACTACAGATCATCATATCATGATATATTGTTGAAGAGAGCTTATAGTATTTATAATCATACAATTTCATTAAACATGCTGCCATTCTTATACAAACAGGAGGTAAAATGGGGCCACATAAGCATGGTGGAAGCTGAACGGCGTCTCCTGGCACACGCACTGTTGGACCACTCCAACTCCCGCTTCATCCTCTTGTCGGAGTCACACGTCCCACTCTTTGACTTCCCCACCGTCTACTCCTACCTCACCAACTCCACCAAGGTGTACATGGAGTCCTATGACGAGCCGGGAGGGACGGGCCGGGGCCGATACAAGCGTGGCATGGCACCCACCATCACCCCTTGGCAGTGGCGGAAGGGCTCACAGTGGTTCGAGATGGACCGTGCCCTTGCCATTGACATCGTTGCCGACAACGTCTACTTTCCGGTCTTCAAAAAGTTCTGCAAGCGCAACTGCTACACCGACGAGCACTACATTCCGACATTCCTCCACATCCGCCACCCTGAGGTGGCCGCCAGACGAACTGTGACGTGGGTTGACTGGTCCCATGGCGGGCCCCACCCGTCAAGGTTCACGAGGATGGAGGTCACGGTGGACTTCCTGCGGTGGCTCAGGGGCGGGACGACATGTGAGTACAATGGGAGGACCACCACCGTCTGCTTCCTATTCGCGAGGAAGTTCCTGCCCAACTCGCTCACCCGCTTCTTGAGATTCGCGCCAAAGGTGATGGGCTTTGGCTGAAGGATCGATGCATATACGGGACTAGACAAAGAACAATTCAACTTTTAATTTTTTAGTAGGATACATTATCGCACAATTCTTTGACTAATGTTCACGTTTTTGTAAAGCAGCTCTCTATACTATGTATACTTAAGGATATACGTTCATTTTCTCTAATCCATCCTTTTAGAATTCATTTTGTAATAGCCAATGTACATAACTGTCTCCACAAATTTGAGCCCTCGGGCAAAATGTAAAGTGGGGCTCTGAAAATTGAAAAAATTCATATGACTATAAATCATACTCTCTCTTAATAACATAACTTCAAAATGTGCTACTTCATACAATATTTATAAGTATATCAAATATTAATGCTAAATTAGTAAAGGTCAGTACTTAAACCAATAAATTGACCTCCTGTTCTACCGGAAAACACAATCTGTCTAGTATTTCTGGAAATGAAATCTTCAATTATAAGTTTATAACTCCGTAATTAATCTTCTCCCACACATCATTTTCACATGCCATTGCCACCAATCCATTGAGTATTTCTTGTAGGTGGTATGGTGGATATTGGTTTGAGGTTGTATGTCTTCCTGTAATTTGTGTACTTTTTCTTCCGTCTTAATGAAATGACGCGCAATTCTCTTAAGTCTTTGGTAAAATGTAGAACTTGCCATGAGACGTCATAATTAGGAATATGACCACCTCCTCCTCCGGCGGACCCTAACCCGAAAGAGCTTGTGTTCCTATGTCATATGGAATAAAGTAATAGTTGAAGTTATCAGTCCATTTTGAGGCGGCCCTCTCTGCTAGGATGCTTAATGTGGATAACCACGTAAGGCAAAGCAAAGTGGTACATTTTTTATGTTTTGATTTCTCTTAATGTCAATGCTCAAGTCGCGTGTGCATTATTTTCGTAGCAAGTTAAATTTGAGTGCTTTAGGAGTTATGTTGTTTCTCTAGTCATGTATCTCTAATTATGTTCCGACGCAATGCTAGCACAGTTTTTATCACAAAATTCATGGCTTTCCGCTGTAATTTGGTAGTAGCTAGTGCTGCAAAACAGCAAGTGCACATAAAGTTTATACTCTTTCCAGAAGAAGTCCATTTGTTGCTAGTATGGTGTCTCACCTTTTGGATACGTGAGACTCAATTGAACAACATATAAATAGTAGTCAAAAACACGCACGAGGAGAAGGAGAAGGTGGTTAAGGAGAAGGTGGTTCATGACCACTTCTCCGCTATGCTGCAAAAGAAGCCTCGACCGCATAGCGACCTTAACTGGAACAACATAAATTTCAATCAGTGCGATCTGTCCAGCCTGGATAAACCGTTCAGCGAGCATGAGGCCCTTGACGCCATAGAGACATGCCCAAGGATAAAGCCCCGGGGCCGGATGGCTTTACGGGGGCCTTTTTCAAGGCTTCTTGGGAGGTCATTAAGGCGGACATCATGGCTGTGGTCAATAGTTTTGCCGACCTACGTTCTGAGCACTTCCAATGGGTGAATACGGCTAACGTAGTTCTCCTTCCCAAGAAAGATGGGGTGGAGAGCATCTCTGACTTCAGACCAATCAGCCTCATCCATGCGGTGGCTAAGATTGTGGCCAAGATGATGGCAACTCGGTTAGCGCCATTCATGCACACTCTGATATCCCGTAGCCAGAGCGCCTTCATCAAGTCCAGAAGCATCCACGATAATTTTATGTACGTGCGCAACCTTGCTCGGCGGATGCACCGGTTAAAGAAGCCTACCCTCCTCTTCAAGCTAGACATAAAAAAGGCTTTTGATTCTGTCAGATGGGACTACTTGCTCAGCCTTCTCAGTCGGCGCGGTTTCCCGACACGGTTCAGAGATATGCTCACCGCCCTGCTGCGGTCGTCCTCATCCAGAGTCCTTCTCAATGGGATTCCGGGTGAGCCTATGTGGCACGGTGTGGGCCTCCGGCAGGGAGAGCCGCTATCCCCCCTTCTATTTGTCCTGGCCATTGACCCTATCCAGAGCATTCTCGACACCGCCACAAGACAGGGCAAGCTACACCGGATAGGGGGCAGGGCCACCTGCATGCGCTCCTCGCTATATGCCGATGATGCCGCCATATTTGTGGCGCCTTTCAAGGAGGACATCCAGCAATTAACCTCCATCCTGGCTGGGTTTGGCGAAGTCACTAGTCTCACAACGAACCTCGAAAAGAGCTCGGTGGTTCCTATTAGTTGCAGCGGCATTGACCTGGATGCCGTTCTTGAGTGCTTTACGGCCAAGCGTGCTACTTTCCCAATGCGCTACCTCGGCCTCCCGCTGTCCGTTCACCGGCTCGGGAAAATTGATCTTCAACACTTGGTAGACAAAGCTGCAGGGAGCTTGGTTCCTTGGCAGGGCCGGTTCATCACGGCGGCTGGGCGAACCGAGTTGGTTAGATCGGTGACCACCTCCCAGGCCACTTTCCATGCCACAGCGATTAAACTTCCTGAGAGTACTCTGAGCAATCTCAATAAGCTCGAGAGGGCCTTCCTTTGGGCGGGAGCGGAGAAGGTCTCTGGCGGGCAATGCAAGGTCAACTGGAAGGCCGTGTGCAGACCAAAGAGCCTTGGCGGCCTGGGAGTCCTCGACCTTCACTTATATGCGAGAGCTTTGCGCCTGAGATGGCTATGGTATGAATGGAAGGAACCCGATAGACCATGGGTCGGCTTGGGAAACCCATGCGACTCCATGGACAGAGAGCTCTTCTATGCGGCGACTACTATCACCGTGGGGGATGGTCGGATGGCGCATTTCTGGCACTCACCGTGGCTAGAAGGAAAGAAACCCAAGGACATCGCCCCGCTCGTGTTCGCGAGCTCATCCAACAAGAATAAATCTGTAAAGGAGGCCACGCAGGATCAAAATTGGGTGCACTGGATTAAAATGGAGGATGGGCTTTTAGTTGACCATATTGCACAGTTCTGCACGCTTTGGGAGAAGCTCAGCCAAGTTGAACTTCGAGATGACCTGGCCGATGACATAAAGTGGAACCTCACGACCAATGGCACATATTCGTCCGCCTTGGCCTACAAGGTGCAATTCGAAGGGGCGGTGGCAACCAACATGAAGAAAGTGATATGGGGAAACTGGGTACCCCCAAGTGCAAGTTTTTCGCGTGGCTCATCAACAAGAACAGGGTTTGGACGGCAGACCGGCTACAACGGCAAGGGTGGCCAAATTGCAATTTATGCCAACTATGCAAAAGGGAGCCGGAGACGACGGCACACATTATGTTCCAGTGTAGGTTCTCCATGCGCATTTGGAATGCGGTGAGATGTTGGCTTGACACGCCGGAGCTCGACACCGCCAATTGGGTTGGAATCTCTTCGGTCCATGAGTGGTGGACTAGAACGATCCTTGGCCGCGGACACCGGAGGAAGACGATCTCTTCGCTTGTAATGCTAGTCTCTTGGGAGATTTGGAAAGAGAGATACGCGAGGGTGTTCCAAAAGAAATCCTCAATGCCAACCACGGTGCTAGAGAGCATCAAGGTGGAGGCCAGGAATTGGGTTCTGGCCGGGGCTAAATACACTTGGGATCCTTGATGCCGTGAGAGTAGTCCGTTTTGTTTTCGCATTTGTTGAGGAGTAATGACCCTCATTAAGTCTTTGTTCTATACTCCTTTATTAATGAGATGAAGCAAAGCATTTGCCTCCGTTTCAAAATAATAATAATTAAAGATGCGTCTGCGCTAATAACATGACAGCAATTTTCTCTCGATATCTTGAGCTTACGGAGCTAGATGCAGACTACGCCTGAAACTGTGCTATGTTAAGTGATAAACTTTTATGATTTTCTATGCTTTGCATGAAGAAATTATAAAGGGAGTTGTTTCTAGGCCTGGGGCTATAGCCCTAGCTGCCCCGGGCCTGTCTCCGCCACTGAGCTTACGGGCCTCTGTCCAGTTGAGGTCTCGGCATGTTTCTTGTGGAGCTATGTTCAGTGTATACTTGCGATTCAACAAGAACTAGCAAGAGATCCACTTAAAGGAAAGTTTGTTTTGCTTGCGGCCGGCCCACTTCCAAAGAAAAGTCAGGCTGGTCACTGACGATTTCGTCAGGTCTTATGACCCGACAAAGTCGTGAATCTTTGTGAGTAATACATTCACGTAAAAAGAACATGACAGCATTTTTTTATTATTCTAAGAAGAATTACATAATGCAATTTGGTGACAAAACCGACGCAAGTAACAAAACCGAAATTGGCAGAGGTTTCTTTTGCTGCTCTATCTACAGATCGCTAGGAAGCACCCAGAATGCTCTATCTGATACCGCCGGAGCTTCATCAAGTTTCTGCAACTCTGTGCTTCCATCCTTCACGTCAAACACCTGCAATGTTTTCCGGTGACGGTCCGGGAAATAGACGCAGTCCTGTCGCAAACCACAGCTGCCGTCGCCGGAGAGCGAGGCGCCAAATTCATAGATGGACAGGAGGAACGTGCAGCCGCCGAGGTCGTCCACTTCGCGCCATTGCCGCTTCGAGAAATCCATCCTGTGAACGGTGGCGCCATGGTACGGCTCCGAGGCATGGACGCCGAACAGGCGTATCATATAGAGCTGGTCACTAGATTCCACCAAGAAAACGCTCCCATGACACATACCAATGGTATCCTCGACGGCGATCGAGGTGAAGACCGGAGCAGAAAGGCCGCCGCAGAAGTCGATCACATCGAGGCTGGTCGACGTGCTGTTGAAGTAAAACTTTCCGCGGCACGCCGCGATCGGGCATATGACCACCTTCTCCTCAGGCGGATCCCAGTCCGGAAGAGCCGTGGTTCCTATGTCGTACTCGTGTTTCCCCCACTGGCTATCCCCGACATGACAGAACCATATGAGGGGGGCGTCGGGCTGGGCCAGGAGCACGACGCAGCCGGGAGCGGTGGGCTCGTCGGACAGCAAGCAGTTGCACTCTATTAGCAGGTCGTCGTCGACGTCGAGGCCCAGGGGCGGGAGCTCAATCTTGAGGCGGCTCTGGGAGCTCCAGAGGAAAGTGGCCAG